ATAACGAGCTTATTGAAAAAGGAAGGCACGCATCTAGATAGCTCTATTCATAGGCAAAGCAAATACTGCAGACAGAAATCCTTTCAAGACAGGATATTTTGAAACTCCCTGCAGCGAAGTCTGAACAAAGGCAGAAGTACAGAGCCTTGGTAGTACAGTGGTCTAAAGCACCCTGTTATTAAGACCAGCTGCCTGCAATTACTGCAGGTTCGAATCTCGCCAAGGCTCAAGGTTGACTCAGCCTTCCATCCTTTCTAAGGTAGGGAAATTGAGGACCCAGTTTGTGGGGGCAATAAGTTGACTTTGTATAAAATATACAAAAGGATGAAGGCTATTGCTTAACGCATTGTAAGTCGCCCTGAGTCTCCGGAGAAGGGCGGCATATAAATCAAATTAAAAAAAAAAAAAAAAAAAGAAGGGTAGGATTAGCCCTCACTCAAGATCCAACACAGGAGGAAAGCCATTAAGAGACAATAGGAATTGCCCAACACCCTTTCAGGACACAAGCCCCTTCATTGCACCAACCCAGAGCAGCCCAAACTTCAACCAAACCTGGGAGCTCAGACAAACACCTAGGATTTGCATTCCCTCTTTTGCCTATAGAGCCAGCTATGACCCCTACATGACCCCATGGGAATCTGGCAACAGCCAATAGAACGCATGTTCTTGCACAGGAACAGGAAGCTCAAGTGCAAAGCCCAAGAGAAGGTATAACCCCCCCCACTCTCAACTCCACGTGGTCAGCTGCCTAGAACCCATGTGGTTCTGCTTCATCATTAAACCACCTTTCCAATCAGCCTCCATTGACAGCTTCCAGTGTCTTTCTTTCCCGGCTTGGAACTGAACCAGATGGATATTTCTTCCCATGGTTGTAACTATGATCTACGATCTATGGTCTACCACTCTGTTGCTTGTATGTACAGTGAGAGCTTCTGCACCGGAGACAAATTAATTAATTAATTAATTAATTAATTAATTTTTTCAATTTGTATACCGCCCTACTCCCTAAGGACTCATTCCTCGTGTGTCCAACCACACTTGGCCAATAAAGAATATTCTATTCTATTCTATATCTGAGCCGCTACATTCCTAGAAACAGTTCAAAAACACAAAGTCTATTCAAGTGATAGAATAAACACAGACACCCTCTCAACTGAGCGCCATTAAATAAGAATACAGGTAGTCCTTGACTTACAACAGTTGGCTTAGTGACATTCAAAGTTACAACGGCACTGAAAAAAACTGACGTAGGGCCATTTTTCACAGTTATGACCTTTGCAGCCTCCCCATCGTCACGTGATCCACATTCAGACGCTTGGCAACTGGTTCACACATATGACGGTCGTAGGGTCCCAGAGTCACGTGATCCCCTTTTGCGACCTTCTGATGTGCAAAGTCAATGGGGAAGGCCAGGTTCACTGAACAACTGTGTGGCTAACTTATCCACTGCAGTGATTCACTTAACAACCGAGGCAAGAAAAGTCGTAAAATGGGGCTCAATTGGGGTCGTACGTCGAGGACTTCCTGAAGTTTGGTGTAAAGCGCAATTAATCCTCTGCCATTCAGAATAGCTCTGGACAGAGAGATGGGAGGGTCACTTCCCCGCTGCCCTGAAAGAGGCGGTGGTGAGGCCTCTCCTCAAGAAGCCGTCCCTGGACCCAGCAATATTGGCTAACTATCGTCCTGTCTCCAACCTTCGCTTCATTGCGAAGGTTGTTGAGAGTGTGGTCGCGCAACAGTTTCCACAATTCCTGGAGGAAACATCCTATCTGGATCCGTTCCAGTCAGGTTTCAGGTCTGGGCACAGCACGGAAACGGCATTGGTCGCGCTGGTTGATGATCTCTGGAGGGCTCGGGACAGGGGTTATTCCTCTGTTCTGGTCCTATTAGATCTCTCAGCGGCTTTTGATACCATCGACCATGGTATCATGCTGCACCGGCTGGAAGAGTTGGGGGTGGGAGGCACTGTGTTACGGTGGTTCTCCTCCTTTCTCTCCGACCGGTCGCAGTTTGTGTTGGCAGGGGGGCAGAGGTCGACCTCGAGGCCTCTCATTTGTGGAGTGCCGCAGGGATCGGTCCTCTCGCCCCTTCTGTTCAACATTTATGTGAAGCCGCTGGGCGAGATCATCCGTGGCTTTGGGGTGAGATACCACCAGTACGCTGATGACACCCAGCTGTACATCTCCACCCCGGACCACCCCAACGATGCCCTTGAAGTGATGTCCCAGTGCCTGGAGGCTGTGCGGATCTGGATGGGGAGGAACAGGCTCAGGCTCAACCCTTCCAAGACTGAGTGGCTGTGGCTCCCGGCATCCCGATATAGTCAGTTGACTCCATCACTGACTATTGGGGGCGAGTCTTTGGCCCCCACTGAAAGGGCTCGCAATCTGGGAGTCCTCCTGGATAGGCAGCTGTCTTTGGAGGAACATCTGACGGCTGTTACCAGGGGGACCTTTTGTCAGCTTCGCCTGATTCGCCAGTTGCGGCCCTTTCTTGATCGGGATTCCCTGTGCACAGTCACTCATGCCCTCGTCACCTCTCGCCTTGACTACTGTAACGCTCTCTACATGGGGCTCCCCTTGAAGAGCACCCGGAGGCTCCAGCTGGTCCAGAATGCAGCAGCACGGGTAGTGATGGGAGCAACATGGCGCTCCCATGTAACACCACTCCTGCGCGAGCTGCACTGGCTCCCGGTGGTCTTCCGGGTGCGCTTCAAGGTGTTGGTTATCACCTTTAAAGCGCTCCATGGCATAGGGCCTAGCTATCTCCGAGACCGCCTACTGCTACTGATGACCTCCCATCGACCCGTGCGCTCCCACAGAGAGGGCCTCCTCAGGGTGCCATCAGCCAAACAATGTAGGCTGGTGGCCCCCAGGGGGAGGGCCTTCTGTGTGGGGGCTCCCACCCTCTGGAATCAGTTGCCCCCGGAGATAAGAAGAATCCAGGACCTCAATGCCTTCCGTCGTTCCCTGAAAACCTATCTTTTCCAGCAAGCCGGGTTGGCTTAAGAAGAAATTTTAAAACTTTTAAATCCTTTTAATTAGTCTGTGATTTTTAATTTTTTGGGCCAAATTTTATATATATTTTTAAATGTTTTAATATTTGTATTCTATGTTTTTTATCTTGGCTGTACACCGCCCTGAGTCCTCAGGGAGAAGGGCGGTATATAAATTCGAAATTAAATTAAATTAAATTAAATGTAAATTTGACAAATAATAATCCTGCTCCCAGTCCAGGAAAATCAGTAAAACCCCTAAAATTATGGCCAGGGGGTGGGAAGACCAAATAGCAGATAGAGATGCCCTTCCTTCCTTCCTTCCTCTTCTTTTTCTTTCTCTTATTTATTTTCCTTCCTTCCCTTTCTCTCCCTCCCTCCCTTCTTCTTCTTTTCTCTTTCTCTTTCCTTATTTATTTTCCTTCCTTCCCTTTTGGAAAGGAGGAGACCCCTTCCCTTCTTCCCTTCCCTTTCCTTCTGGAATAGACCTTAAAAGGCATAAAGCAGCTCCTGGCACCTTTCACCCAAGCCTCCGCTCCTTAGCTCTCATCCCACCATTTAGAAATGTCTTAGAACCGAAGAAGCTTCTCGGAGGAGAAGTGAAACATCTTCAAAGAAAAACCATAAAGTCCAGTTGCCTCTTGAAAAGAAAAAGAAAAAAAAAGCCCCTCTGGGACCATTTAGAAACGTTTATTTACAATTAATAGTTACACCTGGCCTCCTACACCCGAGTTCCTCAAACTTTAAGACTTCAACTCCCAGAATCCCCCAGCCAGCATGCCCCAGAGTTTGCGGAAGTGGGCAGGATGCAAATCTTGCAAATAAATATCCCAAATCCCAAATTTGGAACATTTTAGACTACAACAGAATAACAGAGTTGAAAGGGACCCTGTGGTCATCTAGTCCAACCCCCATAAGTATTTCTTCAAAGGCAGCCATTTTTAAGGTAGGTGGACTTCAACTCCCAGAAGCCCTCACCTAACCACTCTCCGAGAATGTCCCAAGCGGACTGAGGAATTCTGGGAGTTGAAGTCTAAAAGGGGCCACTGCTCGATTGGTCCAGCCGGAAGGCCTTTGCCACGCGGAAACTACAAACCCCAGGAGCCCTCGCGCGGGGAAAAGGGCGGGGTTTAAGGCGCGAGGCCCCGCCCCGCGCTCAGGGTCGCTGGGGATACGCCCGGCGGGGCCGGGCAGGCGTTCGTCGGACCTTCCGAGGAGGCCGAATTGGGGAAAACGGCCGGCGCGCCCGCTCGCCCTTACCCCGGCCAGAAAGTTGCGGATAAGGCGGATGATGCCGGTGGCCGACGCCATCTTGGCTTCAAGGTTGCGCGCTGCGCGGAGCACGCAGGGGACGCTAGGCGCCGCCCTCCGATGGGCGGGGTTACGTGGCACGCCGGAGAGAAGGGCGGAAGAGACGAAGCGCGGCCTCGCGCGGTGCATGCTGGGAGGAGGGGAGAGGGAAGAATGAAAGGGAAGAAAACAAAATGCGGAGGTTTTTTTTTTTTAATACCGGTGTTTTTCTTTCTCTTTTTAAAATGTTATTTTTTTTAAAAAATTTCCAAACTTATTGCCAGTGTTTTTCAACCTGCACACTGGGGAGATGGGAGGACTCCACTTCCCAGAATTCCCCATTCGCTCTGATGCCATTGCTGGCAAGGAAGCCGCCCAGAGTTCACTGCAATAGAGGCAAATAAATACAGGCAATGCCAATGTTCATTCTGCAGGAAGCTGGCTCAGCGCCACTAACAACTATGGATGAATGAATAAATGAATGAACAAACAGTCCTCAACTTACAACATGTCAGATGTAAATGCCTTATTCTCTAATGTGTAAATAGTATATGAACGGGGTATCAGGGGTTAACTTATTCTCCACTTCTTAATGTATTCATAATTCACCACTCCCACATATAGCTCCACCCATTGTATATATAAGGAGCTACATGCTCCCTTTTCCTTGCTTCTATCTGTGAATATTCAGTGAATATAGAATGCCTATTGTCGAAGGACGGAGAGCCGCCTCTTGTTTCCCCCGCCTGCCTGGCCAACCAGTGATGAGCACCAAATGTGTGGAAATAAAAGAAAATCTGGGTTTTTGACCTCGGCCTCAGGTGGATTTTTTACTTTGCTTGAAGATTCCCGCCCCCCTCCTCTGTTTTGGGAGTGGGTGTCCACACATACACACCCCGCCTTAAGTGGAAAGAGGTGGAGAAAAGGGAATAATGGAGAGGGACCCTGGAGGTCTTCTAGTCCAACCCCCTGCTCAAGCAGGAAAACCTAGACCATTTCAGACCAGTGGCTGTCCAGTCTCTTCTTAAAGCCTCCAGTGATGGAGAACCTACAACTTCTGATGGCAAGTTGTTCCATTGGTTAATTGTTCTCGATGTATGGAAATTCCTCAATCCTAGTTTGGTTTCTCTCCTTGATGAATCAGAATAGAGCGGGAAGGGACCTTGGAGGTCTTCTAGTCCAACCCCTTGCTCAAGCAGGAGACCCTAATTAATTTCAGACAAGTGGCTGTCTAGTCTCCTTAAAAACCTCCAGCACCCACAGCTTCTGGTGGCAGGTTGTTCCACTGGTTAATCTCACGGTAAGGAAATTTCTCCTTATTTCTAGGCTGGTTCTCTCCTTGATGAATCAGAATAGAGATGGAAGGGACCTTCTAATCCAAGCAAGAGACCCTGTACCATCAGTCTCTCCTTGAAAACCTCCAGGAATGTGGCTCCCTGCAAAGGGAGGTGTAGGACGGTCATTATTTTAGGGCCTTACTTTCCTCTGCTTGGCTCTTATCCTCTTATCCTCCCAACCTGAAGATCAATTGCATATTTCTGGTGATTTTCTGGAGAATTCCTTCAAGGTTTTATCCTCAAGCTTTTTGGAAGCGGTTTGCCATTTCCTCCTTCTGAGAAGGGCCGGTCTGAAGTCACCCAGCTGGCTTTGTGCTCAAAGGGGAACTGGAACTTGCCCCCTAATTCAGGGCCTTTAATCCCAACACCAAATTGGTTCTCTACAGTTTGCATCCTAATTAATATTCAGTCCTTTAATTTATCCCCATTTTAGAACATAGAATGACAGAGTTGGAAGGGACCTTGGAGGTCTTCTAGTCCAACCCCCCCCCCCTTCTCAAGCAGGAGACTGTAGACCATTTCAGACCATTGGCTCTCCAGTGTTCTCTTAAAAAGCCTCCAGTGATGGAGCAGCCACGATTTCTGAAGGTAAGCCCTTCCACTGGTTGATGGCTCTAAACTGTCAGGAAATGGCTATTTAGTTCTAAGGGGAGGAGAGAAAATCTTCTTTCCAGAGAGGCCGGGTATGGAGTGAGCTGGAAGGGGGGCAGAGAAAGGCCTCCCTCCAATGATGGGGAGCGTGTCCAGGCCATCCAAAGGGGTCCCATCGCTGGATGTGGCAAGGACAACTTGGCAGGAGAGAAGAAGGCCCTTCCTGACTGGAGCAGGGACTGGAGGTTTCAGTCATGGTGGCTGGCTGGAGGAATCTGGGAGTTGGAGTCCAGCTGCTGCCTTCTGCAGGAAAGGCTGCTTTGTAGGAGGCAGGGGAGTATTCAGGGGACACCAGATCCCATCTTCCACAGAGGCAGGGTGTGGAGTGAGCTGGAGAGCCTGGAAGGGGGAAGAGAACGGCTTCCAAGAGGAGTGGGAGTGGGTCCTGGCCATCCAAAGGAGAAAAAGTTGAGGGTCCCCTCACTGGTTGTGGGAAAGAGGCTGCTGGCAGATCAAAAGGCCATCCTGGGCTCCTGATTGGGGCAGGGATAGGAGGAGGCTGGCAGCTCCTCGGGAGGATGGATACGTTGCTTCAGGGGTCTTCCCAGGCGGGGGCTGCTTGCTGCCGCCTGGCCCATCTGGTTCTTCCCCGCCTGGCCCTCTCTCTGGGTCTGGGTCTGTCATTGAGTTTGCAGCCTGATGGGAAAGTTTTGGCCTGCTTTGGCAGGAGGACCCAGGAGAAAAACCTGCTGGTGCTAAAATGTTTTAAGAACTGCCTCCCTAAGGGGTTTGTGGCTTCTTCATCGCCACCTCTCAAGGATGGCTTAAGTGGCCCAGTGCAGGCGGTTGGACTAGATGATCTTTGGAGTCATTCTCAAACTCGATTCCCCTCCTGAGGACGGCTTGGATGGCGAAAGAGGATGAGAGAGCCAAGGGGGCGGGAGTCCTCGCCACATCTGGCCCTTAAAATGTCTTCCTTTGGGTGAGGTTTTCCCTTTTTGACAGCTGTTGCGTTGTCTGGGCAGGATTTGTTGGGAGACTGGCCCTTTCAAACTAAGTTAGTCTAAAGTGACAAGAGGATCATTTGGTACCAGTAAAGGAGAATATTTATGGCTCGGGGATGAAAGGAGGGCTCCCTGGTGCTCTCTGAGCTTGCTGTGGTTTTCTTGCAGGCGTTTCATGACCCAACCAGGGAACATCCTTAGTGTTAGAAGGGGGGGGGGTTTACTGTCAGTTAATATTCTGCTGTCTTGCTCTGTCAGGGTTGGTGGGGGTGGTGAGAGCAAACCCCGCTCCTCACTAGCACTGATGATGTTACCTACTTTGGGTCATGAAACGTCTGCAAGAAAACGGCCAAGCTCGGAGAGCACCAAGGATGACCTTTGCTAGTCTCATTTCTGACTTAACATTTGATTAAAAGGCACCAACTCACAAACGTGTCTGCTTACTAGTTTGCTTCTAATTTTCGGCACATTCAATTAGTGCCGCCTTCTCCAACATTCCCCAGAAATTCTGGCTTTTAACCTCGGGAGCCGTCAACACATGTGAAGGACGCCATTGGGGGAAGGAGGGGGCCTGTGTTGTTTGTAGCTGCGTGGCATCAAAGCTTCACAAACGTCTCGCTCAGCGGATCCGTCTTTATTGGAAAAGCTGAGTTGGGGTCACACGCCTTGCTGATAACACCTTGTGGGGAGGAATAGGGCGAATCCGACCTCTAGCAGGGCCCCCGTTTGAAACAGCTGAATGGTATGGAGACTGGATGGTAACGGCTGCTTTAGAAAATTTGCTCAGTGGAATACAGGTGGTCCTGGGGCCCTTACGATCATTAGTTGTGATGTTCATAAAATGAGTCTTCTATCTGACCCACTTTTACCTGGAGGTCCTTAAGCAAATCATGGTTAAATGACACTGCAACACTGCAGTTAAGCAAACGTTGGTACAGCCAGTTTGCAATGAGGCAGTTTTTGCCAAAAAACCAGGAAGCAAATGCCCGTTTTCAGAAAAAAAAAAAAAGTCATAAATTGAGGTTATGTGGTGGGTGGGATGCTGCAAATGTGGAGCGGCTGCTGAGCCCCCAAAATGCGGCCATGTATTGGTGGCACCAGTGGCCATCAGGTCTTTGCAAATGTGTCTCATAAGTACCTTTTTTGGGGGGCGGGGGTGTCTGTTGTAACTTTGACAGATTGCAAGTCAAGGGTTTAAAAGTTACCTTTCACGCCCTCCAACTTAGTTCATTTGGAAATTACTCCAGGGACCACCTGTCTCGTTTCTCTTTCTTTTGTGTGCTAATTGTCTCAGCGAGTCTGGAGCCATCTTTAAAATCAAGACCCACCACGAATATTTTACACCCAATGGCCTGTGAATGAATTGCCTGAAATGTCCGGCAATATCCTCTCTTCCCTCCCAAGTTTGACTCGACCATCTGCTGGAATCGCCTGAGACAGGAATAAAAGTGTTACGGGATTTTATTCTAGCCAGATAAAAATTGGGATAGGTAGTTTCTAGTCCTCATGGAGCACTCCACCCAGTTTTGATTATACGGTTGGAGATTTGCCTGGCGGATGCCTCCCCCCTTTTCCCCTCACTTGGGAAGAGGCCTTGGCCCCCAGCCCCCGCTGTCCAGCTTCGCTCCGTGTGCGCGGAGCGAGAATTTTGCACGCGGCAAGTCTTTTTTTTTTTTGCATGATAAAACAGGTGACTGCTTTTCCCTGATGATTTCCTGTGGGTGGGACTGAGGACACGGTCAGATTGACCAGGTGGGTGGCCCAAAATAGTGAAGCTGGCCCAGAGTGAGCCTCACCCCAAAGGGATCCCAAGCGCCCGCCAGAGCATGTGCAGGGAGAGGTTCGTAGTGGTGCAGGAAGCATCTCCTGGAGTGGGGGGCTTTCTCTTTGGTTGCCGGTCCTTCTGGCCAGGGGGAGGCAGCTGCAGGCAGGATAGGATGGTTCAGCTGCCTAGGATTGCAGCCGAATTCTGTCACGGTCCCGTCCTGTGAACAGAGACAAAAACAATTGTTTAAGAGGCTGAATCCCGATTTTGTCTGCAGGCTGTCCAGCCAACGGGGAAAGACCCTCTTGATGTAAACCAGAGCCCTTCAAACTTGGCAGCTGTAAGACTTGTGGACTTCAACTCCCAGAATTCTCCAGCCAGCTATGCTATGCTGGCTGGAGAATTCTGGGAGTTGAAGTCCACAAGTCTTAAAGCTGCCACGTTTGGGGACCCCTGGTGTAAGCTCTGTTCAGTTAGGCAAACCAAGGGATTGGCATTCTCTAAAACTTTTGACCCAGCCTCTGCGATTGTGCTTGGTGTCTGTTGTGGGGACTCAGCCTTGGTTCCCCTGCGCAGGTTGAAATCTAACAGGTGAAAAGTCTCTAGCGATTCTCAGTCCTCCAGGTCGTGGTTGCCCCAAAGGTGCTTTTTCAGGAGGCAACTGGACTTTTCTTGTTTTTTTCTTTTGAAGACCCTGCAGACTACAAAAACTGCAAAAAAATTACAGACTACAGGAGGCTTTAGTGCACCACTCGGGTGACCCTGAGGACACAGATGAACCTCCGGGTGGCCTCAAGGACTCTCTAAAAGGATGCCAATGACCAGCTGTCTGCAAGGAATATAAATCCTTCCATTCCCCACCCTCCAGTCAGAGCTGAAGAAGCTTCTCATCTGAGAAGCGAAACGTCTTCAAACGAAAAACCAGACAGTCCAGTTGCCTCTTGGAAAAAAGCACCTTTGGGACAACCATGACTGAGAATCTCTACAGATTTTTAACTATGCAATTTGGGATGAACCCCCTAGGAATGGTGTGGGAGTTAGGAATGGATTTCCAGAGGAAAAAATTGCAGACTACAGGAACCAGAAGCACCACTCAGGTGATCCTAAAGACACAGGTAAACCTCCAGGTGGCCTCAAGGACCCTCTAAAAGGATGCAAATGACCAGCTGTCTGCAAGGAGTATAAATCCTTCCATTCCCCACCATCCTGTCAGAGCTGAGGAAGCTTCTCAGATGAGAAGCGAAACGTCTTCAAAAGAAAAAGCAAGAAAGTCCAGTTGCCTCCTGAAAAAAGCACCTTTGGGATCTAACAGGTGACAAATCTTGAGTTCCAGAGAAACTAAGGGAGGAATGCTGGCTGTTGGGGAGACCTGGAGCTCTGCGAAGGAGATGCCCTCACCTGTCTGCAGACTGTGTGAGGTGGGCGGATATCAGAGCTGCGAGGTTGTCGTGTCCGGCCTCCACCGCAATGGCCACAGCATCGTTGCCGTCCTGTAAGAGAGTGTTAAGCAAGTTTGAGTGGCGGCTGGACCACAAAGGGCAGTTCTGTTTCCAAAATTAAAAAATAAATTAGTCTAGCAGCTATTCATTTTTATGAAAATGCTTAATTCTCTTGATTCTGCTCCTTGATATTTGAATATGGAAACCCCCCAAGTTTTAATGACTTTCAGGCTTTTGAGGTGATTTTCATTTCCTTCTGACCTTGTGAGGTGGGACAGTGGATCATTAAATCACGGCTGGGAGATCCCTTCTGCAGGCGGGACAGAGACAGGTTAAAAGGGGTTCCCTAAATAATTGTACAGGAACTGCTCGACTTGCCACCACAATGGAGCCTCCGCCCATAATGGTCGTACGGTGTGGGATAGCCGTAAAGCATGTCACCTGTGTGATCGACTCAACTTTATGCCCATTTTTGTGGTGGTTATAAGGCATCCATCGTGGTCGTGAAGTGAGCACCAGAGCTTATTACGCAAATCCATTCTTTGCTATGAGCCAGTTTTGCTGAAAAATGGAAATGCCATTTTGTTTGACAAAAACATATTAAAATGTGGTTGCAAGAGCCGGGATGCTGCAAACATCCGATTGGCAGCCATGTGATGGTGGCGGGAGGGTGATGGCCACTGACACTTCAGAAGCGGGTTGTAAGTACCCCTGGGGAGGCCTGTCGTAGCTCCGAATGGCCACTAAGTAATTGGTCCTAAATCAAGGATATTGATGTTCATTTCACCTAAGAGTTTGTGGTTGGAATTGGGGTGCATTAAACAGCACCATGGCCACGTGGGTAGAGGGCTGAATGAAAAGCTACTGCAAAGTCTTAGTTCCCAGAACTTTAAATGGAAGGAAAACCAGAAATTTTGGGTCCCCCCCCCCAAGAGTTCAGCTTTGGAATTAATGCCAAAATAGGAAACTAGAGAGGAGAAAACAACATGGATGAAGATTTTATTTTTTTATTTTTACAAAAGATGATCCTTTAAATACTTTTCCTATCTTTCTTTTTTTTCTTTTATTGGATTTGTATACCGCCCTACTCCCGAAGGACTCAGGGCGGTGAACAGCCACAGAATAGCTCAGTGGCCCCTGATCTTTCTGGTTCTACGGATGGGGGGCAGGAGAGGGGATGGTTTCGCACACATGCCCATCACTTCCACAAATGCAGTTTGCGCATGGGCTCGGTTTTGGGTTGCGGACTGGGGATTGAGGACCCCTTACGTAGCTTATAATACGATGCTTTAAAAAAAAAGTCCAATTCCAAATCGGCATCTACAAAGAGTTAAGAGTTTATTGAGTTTGTTAGGTTTGGGTGAGCCTCCTTTGAGAACGTTGCCATGCTGAGGACTAGCGGCTTGAGACAAGGACTCGGCTGGAGGCAGCGACTTACATGATCCACGATGGAGGCGTTGCAGGCCGGCTGCGCCAGAAGCAGCTGCACGGTTTCTGCCCGGCCGTGCTCGCAGGCGCACATGAGCGCGGTGGAGCCCTCCTCGTCCTGCAGGTTGACGTCTGCACCGCATGCCAGGAGGGCCTCGACCATCTCTTGCCTCCCGTGGCTGACCGCCAGCATCAGCGCCGTCTGGCCGGCCTGCAACCCCAATGGAAACGGGTACAAGGGCTTTGCTTTTGGAGAGAGTGCTTCCGAGCATACCCAGAGCGCCCTGCTTCCCATTGAACTCTCTCCAGTCCCAGAGAGAGAGGGGGGAGGGGAGGGGGGCGCCTTGCCCCCTGAGATACCTACTTGACTGGCCTTGGCATTGACGTTGCCCAGGTCGAAGAGGTGCCGGACTACGGCCATGTCGTCCTGCCGCTCCATGGTTGCCAGCGCGGCCAACATCAGGGCTGTGTAGCCTGCTTTATTCTGGTGGTTGATGTTGCAGACACCTTATTTTTTGGGGGGGAGAAATTGGTGGTGAGGACGTGAGGGGAGAGAAGCCCCCGTCAACCCTAAGCGGCTTTTCTGGTCTCCAGTGGCCCACAGGCACCGCACTGGGGAAGGTGGAGATGCTCCCAAAGTAACCGGGAATCGTTCAGGTGAGACTGGTGGGAAGGGGCTTTTTTTGAGGTGGGGGGGGAGAGACTGGCTCAAAAACAGGGACTGTCAGAGGGACCTCGGAGTCCTAGTGGACGATCCCTTAAACACGAGCCAGGCGTGTGCAGCAGTGGCAGCAGCCAAAAAAGCCAAGACAATCCTGGCTTTTGTATAAATACAGGCATAGAATCAAAATCTCATGAAGTATTAATAATGCTTTATAAACCTTTAGTAAGGCCACACCTGGAATACCTGCGTCCAGTTTTGGTCACTGTTAATATAAAAAAGCGGTTGGGACTTTGGGGGAAAAAAAGTGCAAAGAAGAGCAATTGAGATGATTAAACGCCTGGAGACTAAGACGTAGGAAGAAGGGCTGCAGGATTTGAGTTTGGCCTGTCCAGAGAAAAGGAGGACTAGAGGGGAAGATAGCTGTATTCCGGTATTTGAGGGGCTGCCACAAAGAAGGGGGGGGGGGGGTCAACTTATTTTCCAAAGCCCCTGAGGGCAGGACAAGAAGCAATAGATGGAAACTAATCAAGGACAGAAACAACGTAGAACTGAGGAGAAAATTCTCAAGACCTGCCCCGGTCTCCTCCCGTGGACTCATCCAATCGGAGTCCAAGCCATCCCGAATCCGAGCGACTTTATCGTGCAGGAATTGCACAAAATCCTCAGCACGACCCTGCAAGGGATCTTCCCGCACTTCCCCCCGAAGAAGGGAGTGGGTCACCCTAAACAGGGCGGCTGGGCGGTTCTCTGCAGATGCGATAAGAGCGGAAAAATGGTTAGATTTTGCCGCTTTTATCGCCACTAGGTAGGTCTTGATATAAGACCTCACCTGTGTCCGGTCGGAATCGGATTGACTATCCTCCAAATGCTCTCTAGGTGTCTTTTCCGACGCTTCATCTCTCTCAGCTCCTCAGAGAACCAAGGAGCTAATTGAGATCGGCATCGGGTCAGAGGCCGCAAAGGCACGACGCAGTCCAAAGCTCCAGCGGCCGCCCTTTCCAGGCGGCCACCAGCTCTTCAGTCGAGTCGTGTGTTAGAGTCTCAGGAAACGGCCCAAGCTCCGTCAGGAACCTTTCGGGATCCATCAGGCGCCTGGGACGGAACCATCTGGTCGGTTCCGTCTCACTAGCTTCCCATTTAAAACCCCCAAATCCATAAAATTTAAATCCCAATTTAAAAACCATTTAGGCTAGGCCGGCTTGATGGAATAAAAACGTTTTCAGGGCTTTTCATTTCATCTAAGAGTTTGTGGTTGGAATTGGGGTGCATTAAACAGCACCATGGCCATGTGGGTAGAGGGCTGAATGAAAAGCTACTGCAAAGTCTTAGTTCCCAGAACTTTAAAAGGAAGGAGAACCAGAAATTTTGGGTTTTTTCTCCCACAAGTTCAGCTTTGGAATTAATGCCAAAATAGGAAACGAGAGAGGAGAAAACAACATGAATTTTTTTTTTTTTTTTACAAAAGATGATCCTTTAAATACTTTTCCTATCTTTCTTTTTTTTCTTTTATTGGATTTGTATACCGCCCTACTCCCGAAGGACTCAGGGCGGTGAACAGCCACAGAATAGCTCAGTGGCCCCTGATCTTTCTGGTTCTGCGGATGGGGGGCAGGAGAGAGGATGGTTTCGCACACAGGCCCATCACTTCCACAAATGCAGTTTGCGCATGGGTTCCGTTTTGGGTTGCGGGCTGGGGATTGAGGACCCCTGACGTAGCTTATAATACGATGCTTTAAAAAAAAAGTCCCAATTCCAAATCGGCATCTACAAAGAGTTAAAAGAGTTTACTGAGTTTGTTAGGTTTGGGAGAGCCTCCTTTGAGAACGTTGCCATGCTGAGGACTAGCGGCTTGAGACAAGGGCCCAGCCGGATGCAGCGACTTACATGATCCACGATGGAGGCGTCGCAGGCCGGCTGCGCCAGAAGCAGCTGGACGGTTTCTGCCCGGCCGTGCTCGCAGGCGCACATGAGCGCGGTGGAGCCCTCCTCGTCCTGCAGGTTGACGTCTGCTCCGCATGCCAGGAGGGCCTCGACCATCTCTTGCCTCCCGTGGCTGACCGCCAGCATCAGCGCCGTCTGGCCGGCCTGCAACCCCAATGGAAACGGGTACAAGGGCTTTGCTTTTGGAGAGAGTGCTTCCGAGCATACCCAGAGCGCCCTGCTTCCCATTGAACTCTCTCCAGTCCCAGAGAGAGAGGGGGGAGGGGAGGGGGGCGCCTTGCCCCCTTAGAGACCTACTTGACTGGCCTTGGCATTGACGTTGCCCAGGTCGAAGAGGTGCCGGACCTACGGCCATGTCGTCCTGCCGCTCCATGGTTGCCAGCGCGGCCAACATCAGGGCTGTGTAGCCTGCTTTATTCTGGTGGTTGATGTTGCAGACACCTTATTTTTTTTGGGGGGGGGGGAGAAATTGGTGGTGAGGACATGAGGGGAGAGAAGCCCCCATCAACCCTAAGCGGCTTTTCTGGTCTCCAGTGGCCCACAGGCACTGCATTGGGGAAGGTGGAGATGCTCCCAAAGTAACCGGGAATCGTTCAGGTGAGACTGGGGAAAGGGGCTTTTTTTGAGGTGGGGGGGAGAGACTGGCTCAAAAACAGGGACTGTCAGAGGGACCTCGGAGTCCTAGTGGACGATCCCTTAAACACGAGCCAGGCGTGTGCAGCAGTGGCAGCAGCCAAAAAAGCCAAGACAATCCTGGCTTTTGTATAAATACAGGCATAGAATCAAAATCTCATGAAGTATTAATAATGCTTTATAAACCTTTAGTAACGCCACACCTGGAATACCTGCGTCCAGTTTTGGTCACCGTTAATATAAAAAAGAGGTTGGGACTTTGGGGAAAAAAAGTGCAAAGAAGAGCAATTGAGATGATTAAACGCCTGGAGACTAAGACGTAGGAAGAAGGGCTGCAGGATTTGAGTTTGGCCAGTCTAGAGAAAAGGAGGACTAGAGGGGAAGATAGCTGTATTCCGGTATTTGAGGGGCTGCCCCAAAGAAGAGGGGGGGGGGTCAACTTATTTTCCAAAGCCCCTGAGGGCAGGACAAGAAGCAAAGATGGAAACTAATCAAGGACAGAAACAACGTAGAACTGAGGAGAAATTTCCTTTCAGTGAGAAAAATTAGCCGGTGGAACAACTTGCCTCCAGAAGTTGTGAGTGTTCCATCGCTGCAGGTTTTTAAGAAGAGACTGAACAGCCACTTGTCTGAAATGGTGTAGGGTTTCCTGCTTGGGCAGGGGGCTGGACTAGAAGACCTCCAGGGTCCCTTCCCACTCTTCCATTCCAGGGGCCCGTTGGAAGTGTGGGGGATCCTGTACAGGGGCCTTTAGAGAACCACCTGCCTCACTTAGAGGGCAGATTTGAGAAAGAGGGGACCTGCCGGGGGTGGGGGTGGGTCACCTGTGTCGAGGAGGAGCCGGACGATGTCGAAGTTGGAGTGGGAGACGCTGTAGTGGAGCGCCATGTTGCCGTTGCCGTCGGAGAGGTTGATGACGTGGGCCAGGAGCGCTGGGGAGAGCTCGCCCAAGGCCTGCAGGTACTTGGCCACCTTGCTGGCCCGGGAGGTCTTCTGGCTGGACACCCGGAACCATTCCCGCAGGACCAGGCTGCTGCTGGACAGCTGGGGGGGGGGCCAAGCGGAGCAGAGGTCAAAGTGCGCCCCTCGGCTCCCCCGCCTCGCAGGAGGTTTCCGCTTCTGGGGCTCCTTTTGTGCTCAGAGACGGGGAGGAAACCTCGTGACTCCTGCAAGCCTGCGTCGGCCAGTTTGGGGGGGCAAAGCAGCTCTGGGATGGCCAACACGAATGGCCCCCCAAAAGCAGGGAAGCGGATGAATTAATTCGGGCTATTTGTGCAAGGATGTGGTGTCCCGCCGGGCGCAGTGCGGCTTCTGCCAGACAGGGAGTCCAGACTCTCTTGTTTGCCAGCTCTTCCGCCTCCCTCAACCCCAGGGGCCGGCTCCTGCGGCTACTCACCAGCTCTTTGCTCTTTGGGGCCCCTCTGCCGTGGCCCAGATGGGCCCTCACCACCAGGCAGGCTTCTCTCATCCACGGGCTCAGCTCAAACCTGCCGGAGAGGCCGATTGGGGTCAGCCGGCTGAGTGACCCTTTGGGGGACACAACGCATCCAGCACGGATGGCAGCCGGTGCAAGAAAACTGACCGGAACCTCCAGATGGACTCGCAAAACCAGTAGTGGCCATTTCCAGCTTAATGGTTCCGATTTGGACCCCTCTGCCAAATCTTAGAACCCCCCTGAAAGCCTCTTTTTGGTGGTGGTGGGAAACAGAGGGGGCCTCCCCTCATTTCTGATCTCCCAAAAGCCAGGGTCTTCCTCTTCTACTTTTGAGGGATGCTAAGGTTTGTGATTGGCTGGTGTGGTGTCTTCTCTGGATTTTAATTCCGGTTGTTTTAGATTTTAAAGTTTCTCCAGATTTTAGTTCAAGTTATTTTAGATTTTAAAGTTTCTCCAGATTCTAGCTCAGGTTCCTGAAGATCCACAGCAGGGCCGTTTTTCCAGACAGTCCTTCAGGGGTTGGAAGCGATTTTTCTAATCTCCAGTCCAATATTTTTCCCTCTTGCGCAGGGGTGGGGAGTTCAACTCCCAGAATTCCCCCGCCAGCTGGCTGTGGCATGAAGCATCGCAGCCAAGCGCAGCTTGATTTAGGGAAGAGGGGACATACGTGCCCCCTGGGCTCAGTGGCATCCCTTGCAGTTGGATGTACCCATTTTACAGAAGAGAGGAACTGAGGCTGGAAGAAGAACACGCCTGGAGTTGGTGAGGGTGGGAAAATCCAGACCTTCCCCTGCAAGGAAGGTCCGGAAGACGTCTTAGAATCTTAGAATGACAAAGAGTTGGAAGGGACCTTGGAGGTCTTCTAGTCCAACCCCCTGCTTAGGCAGGAAACCGCATGGTTTGAGGGTCTGGGGTCCTTCACGCTCTTACCTCTCTTTGACTTTGGGAGTTGCTCCTCCATGTCCGGCAGCATCTTCAGGATCAGGGCCCAGCGTTGGGTGGCCTGGGGCTGCCTCTGTGCCCGGGCTCCCTTCCTCATCCTCGCTGCTGTCGCTGACATCCAGGCTGGCAGCAGCCTCATCCTCCTCCAAGTCACCAACTGTCTCACTGAAGGAGCTGTGGGGAGATCCCTCTCCTGGGGACCCCTCCTCCTCCTCCTCCTCCTCTTCTTCCTCCTCCTCCTCCTCACTAGAGGTGCTCTCATACCTGCCATGAGAGAGGGCGTCAGAGGAGGGCTGGGGTCCCAGGACCCTTGGATACCTGCCATGGCCCCAGGTGTGACCCCAGGCTCACAGCTGCCTTCCCGACCCCTCTGCAATCTTATCAAGACCCCCAACAGAGTCCCTCAATCAAGGCAGGGAAGCCAAAGGCCCCCTCTTGCCAGCTGCTCCTGAACAGGGCAGGGGTCTCTTCCTAGGCCTCTCTGGTACCTCCCACTCCCCTCCGAAGGACCCAAGCGTGTATTCCGGATGAGGGTTCTGCAAGTGCTGGCATTTGGGGGTAGACTGCCTCTGGTCATGGAGGCTAGATCCAAAGGGATAGGAAGCCCCTGTGGTTGAGACCAAGCTGCCAAGGAGTTGGGGGCAACATTGAGCAAGGGACCATCAGCCACATCCTCCCTCTCCCCCCCAGGCTATGTGGGGCCCTGCGATCGGTCCACCCCTCGGCTTTTTCTCCCACCAAAGGAAAGGAGAGGTCCGTACTCGCCATTCAGGAGGCCCACAAACTGGAGGGTCTTCTTCCCGCTGCCCCCCAACTCTGCTTTGGCCGGGCTGTCCAGCCGCTTCATTATGGACTTCAGAGCACCTGCAGAGGAAGGGGAGGGGTGGGGGAGGGGAGGATGGGGGAGGAGAGGACCCCTCATCACGATGATGTTATTACTAGATGGATACCCTGCCTTTACGGATACCGTGTTTCCCCGAAAATAAGACCGGGTCTTGTATTAATTTTTGCTCCAAAAGACACATTAGGTCTTATTTCCAGGTGGGTCTTATTTTGGGGGAAATACGGTAATAAAGGCATCCATCTGGCTGACGATCTTAACTGGGTTTTATTTTTGGGGTAGAGCTTATATTATGAGCATCCTGAAAAATCATGCTAGGTCTTATTTTTGGGGAAACACATTACTCCTTGAATTACGACTGCAGCTGGGGCCTGGTGTGTGTGTGTGTGTGTGTGTGTGTGTGTGTGTGTGTGTGTGTGTGGTTTGGGGGTCTCTGTGTGGTGAGAAAAGCTGCTCTACATTTTTAGGGGCAGCAAGAAATTGTAGAGAAGTCATTTCAAGCTACATTGTGAAGGTGTGTCTTAAGGGGGCCTCGACTGACGTAGGGCAGGAGTGAGTGGGGGGCTTCATCTTGGACCTTGTGTGCTGCACCTGACGGTTGCACTCACCTGACCCCGAGACCCCCTCTGCCCCGTTTGGCTCATGGCTGCCCTTGTCGCCCAAAGGTCGGCCAGCATCCGGTTCACCCTCTGTGGTCTGCAAAGCCAGCTGGACCGGCATCCCTTCCTTGTCACTTGTGGGCTGCCTCGCATCTTCTGAGCCGGACCCCTCCCCAGCCGTGCCGTGATCAGGTGTTGCCGCTGTGGATTCGAGGTGCCCTTTCTGGTCCTCTTGCTCCAGGGGGATCGGTGACGTTTTCTGTTGTGAGTCCTTGGCAGGCTTTGCTTCTGCATTTGATCCTCCTTGCAAGTTGCAACTGACTCCTACATGGGACACTTGCAGAAAACTCTGGACGCCGGCCTCCACCGTTTCGATGTGGCTGCCCACAGCCTGGCACCGGGTGGGCGTCACAGCCTCCACGCTGGCTTCAGCCATCTCCGGACAGGCCAAGGTCGCTTGGCTGACCAGGCTGCCTGGCCTGCGGGAGCAAACCTCCACTCTCAACTCCTCCAGTTCCTCGGTGGCCTCCTTGAGGTGCCCCTCCAGCATGGCGATGACGGCCTGTTGATGCTGGACTCTCTGCTGCACCAGCTGCATCTCCTCCTCTGCGGCCGACGAAACCCCAAGGAAGGACTCCATCACCCACACCTCTGCGTCACACGTCTCCGTCTCGCACCCAACGGCCACTTCCAGGCACGGTCTTTGGCTCCGGTAGTAGCAAACGACTTCAGTCATGTCCACCTCCTCTCCGACTCCGATGGATCTCTGGCCGGGCTGCTCTGCTCTTGAGGGCCGGACCCCTCCTCTGCTCTTCCCAGCCCTCTCCGGACCGGTCAGCCTCTCGGTCAGTTTCTTCAGCTCTGCAATCTTACTTGTCCTCCCTTTGGTCGTCTCTCCCTCGCTCTCAGGCTGGGGCCCTCCTGTGTCCAGACAAGCAGCCCCATCTTTGAGGGCTTGTCTTGGGGGGGAGCGGAAGACCCCCGACTCCTCAGTTTCGGCCTCCCCCTTCTCCCCCAAGCCAGCCACCAGTTGCTCCTTCTCCTGCTTCAGCTGGCAGATCTGCTCCTCCAGGAGAGGGATCAACTTCACTTGCTCCTCCAGCTCCTTCAGCTGTTTGAGAGCAGCGGCCATCTGCTCCCGGACGTGATGGAGGTGTGCGGGGCTCACTGCCGGAACTGGGGTGCTCCTTCCTGAATTAGGGGGGCTTGTCTTCATGGGCTCAGCCTGGCCATCCCCAGATAGAGAGGACGCAGAGTTGGGGGGACACGTGTTGTTTTTGGAAGGGTCCGTCCTCTTTGGCACTGCAGGCCCTCCACCGGTCAGCAAACTCAGCTGTGCCTCCTCCAGCCTCCTGCTGGTCTCCAGCAAGGTGTTCTCCACCTGGTTGCCTCTCCCCACTGAATCGGGAGACGTTGGAGGGAGGCGCTGGGCGGCGGGCGCAGGAGACGTCGGGAAGGAGCCGTCTTTGCCGGCGAGGTCCTTCGCTTCGTAGGAAGCAGTTCGGGGCCGTGTGGGGAAGGCGGGCTTCCCGTCCTCACTGGTGGTGGAGGAAAGGGACTCGGTGGAGGCCCAGCCCCCCATTTGGCTGCGGGGGAAGCTCTGGGCTTGCTTGGACCCCTTCGCTTTGCGATGGAGGGGCAGCTTCCGGAGGGTCTGGCCTCTCTCGATGTCGTCCACATACTTGAGGAAGTCTAGATCCAGCAGGAAGCCGTAGGGGGTTTCCACCGAGTAAGGCATCTTCTCCCTGCCCTGGTCCTGATCCGGGTACAAGAAAGGACGAGCCACACCTGGAAGCCAAACAGAGACAGTGTGAATACTTGGGGGGGGGGTAGCTGTGTATTGTTCTTGTGGAAATGACCCCTGTCCTGGGAGGACTTCACCCCCTTCAAAAAGAGACTAAGCCATTTAACTGAAACGGTATAGGGTCTTGAGCGAGGGGTTGGACTAGAAGACCTCCAAGGTCCCTTCCAACTTTGTTATTCTGTGTTCTTTGCTCCCTTCCCTCGAGTTACAGCTCCTTTGCACGGTGGCAGATAGGACAGCGCTCCAGAGGGTCAACGCCATTGCCCAGAGGATCATGGGTTGCCCTCTCCCCTCTCTTTGGAAGAGCTTTATAGCTCCCGCTGCCTTAAGAAGGTTCAAAACATTCTTAAAGATCCATCTCATCCTGGGCGCCTTTTTTTTTTTTGAACTGTTACCATCTGGCAGCCGGTACATGGCAATAAAAACAAGGACAAAGAGGCTGTAAAACAGCTTCTATCCCAGAGCAGTAACTATATTGGACTCTATAGTGCAATATTAATGCAGTATCAGGGGTTTTCAATTTAATTGTATAGAATGTGAAGGATGTGTGTTTGTGTTTTATTTTTATAGTTCCCTTATGTATAATGTACCCTGAAGATGGCATTTAATTTCATTGTACAAGGTGCAATGACAATAAAGTAAACTTAAACCTTTGGGGAGTTTCTGGAGCACCTCCCAGGTCACCTGGGTTCAGAAGTGCAAAAAACCCCACAGGGACCCCAAGCATTGACCCAGACTGATTGATTTGATTGATTGATTGATTGATTGATTCCTTCCTTCCTTCCTCTCCCTCCTTCCTTTCCTCCCTCCATCCCTCCCTCCTTCCTTCCTTCCCTCCTTTTTTCTTCCCTCCCCCTCCCTCCCTCCCTCCCCCTCTCTCTTTCCACTCATCTCCCAAAGACTTTCCCACATACCATTTCGGAGAAAGAGCCCAAGGGATGGGTTGAACTTCCCTGCCCCCTGGCTGGGCCTGGCAGATGATCGCACAACCCCTCCCTGCCCTTGACAGGCCACCACCGGCCCCTGGCCTGCCTGGCAGAAACCTCTCCAGGAGAGGGCCATCGAGGAGCAGCCCTTCTCAGGGACATGACTGGGGCCAGGAAGGCCAAAGTCCGGCCCTTGGCTGCTGTCCAGCTGCCCATTCCCCTTCCTGTTGGCCGAGCCCAGACAAAGCAGTGGGCAAAGCCCCCCCCTTTTGCAGGACAGCCCCCCCCAAGGACTGCCCCGCTCCATTGTTCCCAGATTCCCAGTTTTGGGGGCAGCTGTTCATTTTTTCACTTTTGAAACCTCCATCTTCACCATCTGTCCTTCCTCGTTACCTGTAGAGCCCTGGTCAAGGTGTGGCACCCGGGCCATCCCTGCTTCCGGGGTCCCCCAAAGCCCAGCTCTCCCCAAGGGTGGGGTCCACCTGCAGAGAAAGAACACCGGAGTTGAAAAATCGGGTTGGTCGTGTGATAACCTGCTTAACGACCGGCATGGTTTATGACCGTAAATCTGGGCTGAATGACGGGGGTAAGTCGAGGGCCGCCTGCATTGATTCTTTGGGTCCCAGCATCAGAGATCCGAAAATGAGGAACTGCGGTTGATCAGCGGCTGAATGTGAATCATCAGCCCCACCGATGAGGAGGAGACCAAGACGGGTTTGAATAGCAGAATGACAGAGCTGGAAGGGGTCTCAGAGGTCTTCTAGTCCAACCCCTACTCAGGGAGGGCACCCCATCCCATTCCCAACAAACGGCTGTCCAATTTCTTCTTAAAAACCTCCAGTGTTGGAGCCTCTAAGGCAAGAGCTGTGATGGGGCAAAGGGAGGCGGCACAGCCTTCCGTCAGGGGACTTGCATTAGGATCCTTGCGCTGAGCAGGGGGTTGGACTGGATGGCCTCAAGGCCCCCCCCACCGACACTTTCTCAGCAGAAAAGGACTATCTGTGGAAAGGCGGGGGAGGGGAAGTGGCCAAGGTGGATTTAACAAGCCTCAGCAAGGACTTTGGGCCACAAGGGCCCCGCTGATATTTATTGATATGTCTTTGCAAAATGTATTGGTTGCGTGGGGCAACTCTAAGCAGCTTACAATCTTGTAAGTGACTTTATGTTAATTATATGTCATTGATATATATGATATAGGGTGACATGACACTATACTATACATTATATTCTATTAATATTCTATTATATTTTATTATTAATATATTACATTACATTATATTTAGTACATTATTATATTTATTATATTATATTTATATTATATTAGTATATTACACACTACACTACATTGCATTATTAAGAATTACCTAGTGGCGATAAAAGCAGCAAAGTGTAATTATTTTGCTGCCCTTATTGTATCATCAGATAATCGCTTGGCCGCCCTGTTTAGGGTGACCCGCTCCCTGCTCCACCAGGGAGCGTGGGAGGACCCCTTGGAGGGAAGAGCCGAGGATTTTGTTCAGTGTCTGCATGACAAAATCACTCAGATTCGGGAAGATCTGGACTCCGACTGGGTAGATCCAGCGGGGATGATGGAGGCAGGTCCTGAGAATGTTATCTGGGATGAGTTTGATCCTGTGACTCCCGAGGACGTGGACAGGATCTTAGGACGGCTGAACGCCATCACATGTTTATTGGACCCGTGTCCTTCCTGGTTGGTGCTGGCTTCCCGGAAGGTGACTCGAGGCTGGCTCCAGGGGATTATAAATGCTTCATTGGGTGAGGGTGTCTTTCCTGCCGCCTTGAAAGAGGCGGTGGTGAGGCCTCTCCTCAAGAAGCCTTCCCTGGACCCGGCAATATTGGCTAATTATTGTCCGGTCTCCAACCTTCGCTTCATGGCGAAGGTTGTGGAAAGTGTGGTTGCGCGACAGCTCCCCCAGCACCTGGATGAAACGAAATATCTGGATCCGTTCCAGTCGGGCTTCAGGCCTGGGTACAGCACGGAAACGGCATTGGTCGCGTTAATTGATGATCTCTGGAGGGCTCAGGACAGGGGTTGCTCCTCTGTCCTGGTCCTGTTAGATCTCTCAGCGGCTTTTGATACCATCGACCATGGTATCATGCTGCACCGGCTGGAGGGGTTAGGAATAGGGGACACCGTGCTTCGGTGGTTCTCCTCCTTCCTCTCTGACCGTTCGCAGTCTGTGTTGGCAGGGGGGCAGAGGTCGACCCCGAGGCCCCTCATATGTGGGGTGCCACAAGGGTCGGTCCTCTCACCCCTTTTGTTCAACATTTATGTGAAGCCGCTGGGCGAGATCATCCGTGGTTTCGGGGTGAAGTACCACCAGTACCATGATGATACTCAGCTGTGCATCTCCACCCCGGACCACCCCAACGATGCCCTTGAAGTGATGTCCCGGTGCCTGGAAGCCGTATGGATCTGGATGGGGAGAAACAGGCTCAGGCTCAACCCATCCAAGACTGAGTGGCTGTGGTTTCCAACATCCCAATATAGTCAGTTGGTGCCATCACTGACTATTGGGGGCGAATCGCTGGCCCCCACGGAGAGGGCTCACAACTTGGGCATCCTCCTGGATTCACGGCTGTCTTTAGAAGAGCATTTGACGGCCGTGACCAGGAGGATTTTTCATCAGGTTCACCTGATTCACCAGTTGCGTCCCTTTCTAGATCGGGACTCTCTACGCACAGTCACTCATGCCCTCGTCACCTCCCCCCTGGACTACTGTAACACTCTCTACATGGGGCTCCCCTTGAGGAGCACCCGGAGGCTCCAGCTGGTGCAGAGTGTGGCCGCGCAGGTGGTTATGGGAGCGACATGACGTTCCCATGTAACACCCCTCCTGTGCGAGCTGCACTGGCTCCCGGTGGTCTTCTGGGTGCGATTCAAGATGTTGGTTACCACCTTTAGAGCACTCCATGGTTTAGGAACTGGTTATCTACGGGACCGCCTACTACCACCAGTAGCCTCCCACTGGCCGGTACGCTCCCACAGAGAGGGGCTCCTCCGGGTGCCGTTGGCCAAACAATGTCAACTGGCGGCCCCCAGGGGGAGAGCCTTCTCTGTGGGGGCACCTACTATCTGGAATGAGCTCCCCCCGGAGATATGGAGGATCCCGGATCTGCGCACCTTCCGTCGCGCTCTCAAGACTTTTTTATTCCATCAGGTTGGCCTGGCCTAATATTTTCCCTTTCCCGCCTTTTTAAAACGCAAATTTTAATTCGTTCTTAATTTATTGGAGTGTTTTAAATCTGTCTTCGGCCAAATTGTTTAATTCAGTTTTAAATTTTGTATTTATGTGTTTTTATCCTGTGGCTGTTCACCGCCCTGAGTCCTTCAGGAGAAGGGTGGCATACAAATCAAATAAACTATAACTATAAACTATTATATTACTATTAATAGAGAAGAGTTCGTTGCTGGCGCGGTGCTCAGAAGGGGAAGCCACAGCAGCTGCAGATGTGCAGAGGGAGCTGCCCGGTGAAACAGCTGGGAGGGGGAGGGGGCAGAGCTGAGCAGGTCAAGGCGAGGAGCCCGCGGATTCCCCACGGGATGACCAGGCGACGCCCCAGAAGAAGCGGCCGGAGGAAGGCGGTCCCCCGCGCCCCCTGCGGCCTTGGAAGGAGCCCGCACAAAGGCAGGAAACGGCCGAGGACCTGCCAAGTGCTCCAAAGGCGACCCACGCCCGGAGCCCCCCCCTCCTCCTCCTCCTCTCCACGGCGGGACCCAGGGAAGCGCTTCCAAATTTGGGCCAGTCCGCAGCTGTGAGTCACGCAATCCTCGCGCACACAACGGAGGAGGCGGAGGGGGGGGGGGGGGAGGAGGAGGGGACCCCGCGAGGCTCCGGGGACGGTCCATCGGCCCCGCCACAAACCTCGCCCGGAAAGCGGGAGTTGGCTCGGCATCCGGAGCGCTCCCCTCCAAGGACCCCCCTCACCCCCCCCACCGCTCCAAGAGAAACTTGGGGGATCCTGGTTGGTTCCGCGGCTGTCCGGGCCTTGGCTGGCTGCCAGGCGGCCCCTCCCTCAAGCCTCCCCGACCCCCCGACCGCAGGCCAGCTTTTGAGCAACTCGGCTTCTCCTGCCTGTCTCCGAGAGTCCCGAAGGCAGGACTGACCCCCACGCGGACCCTTCCTCCGCTTTCCCAGGTGCCGACAGGTGTCCTGAGGACTAGCAACTTGGCTTGTCCTTTGAGTCCCTCGAGACAGGTGGGAAGTGCCGGCTCTCCTTGGGGACCCGGGCAAGGACCCTCCGCCCGGACGCTCTTTTCTGCCTGCCTCCGCCCCCCGCGTTCCTCGCAGCCTCTCCAGCGCCCCTTCGCCTTTCCCCGAGCATGTGCAGAGTGCCTCAGGCTGGGCTGGGCGGGGGGGGCAATCGGGCTGCGCCTGAGCCCTGCCCACCCCTGCCCGTCCGTCCCCCCCGCGCCCCCCCCGACTTGCCTGCGCGCTCCGTGCCCGCGCCGGGCTCCCCTCCGGAGGGCGGCGGGCGGCGGGCTCCCTTCGGCCGGCGCCCAGCGAGCAGGTCCGGCTGCGGGCGGGCGCGCCCCTTCCCTTCTGGCGGGGGCCGCGGCGTGAGTCAGTGGCGACGGCTGCGCTCCAGCGCTTTCCAAGCGGAGCCGCGCCGCTTCCCATCTGGAGCTGGCCCGGGGCGGGCGGGGGAGGGAGCCTCGGATCGGGGAGTGGTCCGCCTTTCGCCCTCCCCTGCCCGGGGCAGAGACCGCCGCGGAGGGCTGGGGGTGGGGGAACCCCGCGCTTCTCTTCCCGCTCCCTCGGGGCTCCCCGCTCCCCCTGCCGAGCCCCGCGTGGCCCCTCTGGGTGGGCTGAGTCTGCAAGGGACGCGCGGGGAGGGGAGGGGTCGTCTGTGTCCCTGGAGTCCCACCGGCCCTCGTGGGCTGAGGGCTTCTCCGCCTGGGCTTGGGGGGCTTTCTGGCTTCAACTGGGGAGAACCATCCCGGTTAGAGGTTGCTTGTTCCGAACTGATCCTGGCCAGAGAGAAGCGACCTGGAATTGAGGAGAAAGTTCCTGAAAGAGAGGACAATTAACCAGTGGAACAACTTGCCACCAGAGGTTGTGGGGGCTCCATCACTGGAGATTTTTAAGAAGAGACTGGACGGCCACATGCCAGGAATGCTCTAGGGGGTCTCCTGCTTGAGCAGGGGGCTGGACTAGAAGACCTCCAAGGTCCCTTCCAGCTCTGTTCTGATTCAGAAAACACTGACTAGATCTGCCAAATGGGAAGACGCCTGCTGAGAAATCTCTTGAATCTGGCTAAAGAGGAGTGGGTGTGGCGCCTTCTTGGAAGGGCTGAAAGGACCATATTGTAGCCTGGAGACAGATGATGTCATCAGCAGTTCCAAGGAGGCTCCACCCCCATTTGCACCACTCAGGTGACCCTGAGGACACACAGAAACCTCCAAGTGGCCTCAAGGACTCTCTAAAAAGGATGCAAAGGACCAGCTTTGTCTGCAAGG